CATGTTACTATGGCAGAAAGTAGTTTCTGTAAGATCTTTTTGGTTAACGAGGCCCACAGAACATGCAGGCAGGTAAGGCCGACACTGTTCTGAGATTCAGGGGCAACGCATGCACTGTTTGGGAAATAGACTTTCTTTAAACTAGCCGGTGATCGCTCAGCCCCACATGAACAGAACTGAAAGGGAGGCGGGAGGCTCAGGTATAGCTAGGGGAGTACTAGGTGAAGAAGACAAGGAGACTCTGGTATGTAGAATGGCTGCAGGAGGAAAATGTAGGTGTGTATAAATGGATTTGGGAGTTCTTGTGGCTGATGGTAGTTATTTGAGAACTTTGTCTTAAACCACTGAAATGTTGAAGTGGCATCAAGTACTTCTGAAAGTTCATTTTTTCTTTTGTCTGTTTTTTTAGAAGAAAGGCTACAAATTGATAAAGTTTCAAAGGAGATGAATGAATATATGAACAAAGAACAAAACAGCATTTTGACATCACAGGAGGCAAAAGAAATCGAAGCAGATTTGGTTCATGACAAGAAAAGATCTCCAAATGCAATCGCACCCGATATAGAACCCAAAAAAGAGGGTAAAGAAAAAGAGAGGACAGGAAGGAGCAGGTCAAGAACCTCTAGCAGCGGTAGCACTAGCAGCAATAGCAGAAGCAGTAGCAGTAGCAGCACTGTATCTAGTTCATCATACAGCACCAGCTCAGGTAGTAGTCGCAGTTCTTCGCGTTCTTCCTCTCCTAAAAGGAAGAAGAGGCACAGTCGCAGTAGGACACCTTCACACAAAGTGAGGCGCAGCAGAAGCAGGAGCTACTCTCACAGAAATAGAAGAGAGAGGAGTAGAAGCAGGGAAAAAATAAGGGAAAGGAGAAGATCCAGTAGAAATCAGAGCGCTGAGAGAGGGGAGAGGCGGAGGATTCAGAGCCCGTCTCAAGAGAGGAGCTGGGATAGACGTAGGAGTAGTAGCTCAAGAGACAGGAGAGTGGGCCGTGCCAGTCGCAGCAGGAGCAGGGACAGGCGCAAACCCGAAGACCAGCATAGAAGTCCTCCTGGAAATAGGCACAAACACAAAAGTGATGGTAAAGATCAAGAGAGGAAGAAAGAGCATGGTGGAACTGCAGACAAAGACAGAAAAAAGAACAGGGAAAGGGAGAGAGATCAGGAAAAAAGAAAAGATAAGCCTAAAAAGGAGGAAAAAGAAAGCAAGGCTGGTAATCACGATGACAATAGGTTGAAGAGGAAAAGAGACAGTGAAAGAATTTTCCCTCGCAGTGAGACAATATCTGTGAAAATAATAAGACAGGATTCCAGACCAGACAGCAAAAAAGTTACTACCAAAGATAGCAGGAAGCAGTCAGGCTCTGAATCTAGTGCAAGGAGTAGTTCTGAATCGCCAGGAAGCAGTAAGGAAAAGAAGGCTAAGAAATCAAAGCATATTCGGTCATGCTCCATGGAGAAATCTCAAAGGTCTGGTAAGAAGGCAAGCCGCAAACACAAGTCTAAGTCACGATCAAGGTAGTATACTTTTTAAGTATTTTGTCTGCTTTTTTATTTTTATTCTTTTTTTTTTTTGCTATTCGTCTTCATGTGTACGACATATGAACTTTTAAAATAAAGTATGGTATTTATTGAATTTTTGTAGGCAAAAGTAACTTTGGAAAATCTTTTAAAGCTATTAATTGTTAAGCCTAAAGTGTGTGTGGGTTTGGGGGTCTTTTATTTTTTCCAGTTAACTTTTCCCCCTTTTTTCCTCTATTTTTCAGATCAACAACTCCTCCTCGTCGTAAACGCTGAGGAATTAATGGCACCAGTGCTATGATGTTTAAAAATTCCATGAGTTATAAAAGGCTTGTCTCATTATAGAGGCACATTGTGGCTATGTAGGTGAAACCAGAACCCTTTTTTTAACGTGTAAATAGGTGTATTTTTTTCCAAATGCTGCTCTGAATTAAATACCTAATAGGATTTCTTTGTATTACATTTTTTCAAGAACGGTAGTGCTTAATAAGAATATAAAACACACCATTCTCTTTCAGCTGTAATGTTCTTAAAATTACTATTGAATGTACTGTGATGTCAATAAAGCTCTTTAGTTCTTTTTTTGTTTAAAGTTCTTGCACCTGGATTTTGTGTTAAATTGTAGAAAATACTTCAGAAAAAGGCAGCTTTTTTAGTATAACAAATTTTTAAAGTACTTGAGAAGAGACTTTTAACTTGTCACAGTATGTTATCCATGGATTCGATGAGATTCATCTGTTGGGTGGGGGATGTGGAAGAGCAGAGTGTAGACATCTTCCTTTAGGTGTGTAATAGATTTTTAACATCCTTTTTATTCGGACTCTCGAGTAACATTTGCTGTGTGTGTAACATATGGGTCACTGTAATACGAGCGCTACTTAGACTGAGCCCCGCTAGGAATATGTGCAACGAACTGATGTTGTGTGACAGTGCTCTGGAACTCTATTCCTCACCCAATTTCCAGAGAAAACTCTGTGGACGTTCAGGGACATTGCAGGAACGAGACTCAGCCTGCTAGATGTTGATGAAATATATTTATAAATGGCACTCAGTGTGCATTAGGAAACTGACAATAGATAAACATGGCATTTTGGCACATGCTCTAAATGTATAGTGAACATTAAAACTGGTTATTTATGCTATTGTTACGAGAACTGTGATTCCTATAAGGTGAACACATTGGTTAGACAGCAACTTAACTAAATGTAAGTGCAGAGATAGATTTTTATCGCCATAAAGTGAACGAGATCACTAATCACATCTTTTGGGAAATGAACTACAGCTGTTAGTAACAAGAATGTGAAATCATACTACTTTAAAAACAAAGAAACAAAGCCTGCACAACCCTAGGCCTCTGCCTGTTACAGAAGGCACATCATTTCAGGAGAAGGTCGGAGGTCTGTGCCCAGAAGGTCTGCTCTGATGCCGATGGTGGAAAAGATAAAAGGCTCAGCATCAAAGTGAGAGCTCTTTGATGGCTGTGTCTTCTAGGGGAAAAAATTGCACCAGTGCAGCAACTCGCAAAGCATGTCTTCTTGGACAGATTAATCCATTTAACTACAAGTAGAATGCAGCTATGTAACATCTTTGCCAATACATGTTTTTCATAATTAGATGCAGAAGCAAGCTGCTTCACTGCAAAGAATCACACTGTACCTATACGTTTATTAAGCAGTTTAATGGCTGTCACGTACACGCATGTTTACCAGAACCCTGTTATGGATAAATAATTAGTTAGTTCACTTATAAATAACATGCACTCAAAATTTATATAGCATAGAGTAAGCAATCATTCCAAGCAGCAAAATAAGGCATAAATTTGTAATGCACTGTTTTCATTGGTATAAATGATAGTACATTGATCCAAGCTTTTGGTAGAAGTGAGTTTGTGCAGAGCAGGTGGTGTGGCAGATTTGGTATCTTAGGAGGACTTGGAGAGAGAGAAGAAAATTGAAAGGCAATTGAAGAAAAGCTACTGAGGAATACAGTTTCCATAGTGCATTGAATTTGATTTTCAGTTCAGATTTTCTATTATCTGTCTAACAATAAAAGAAAGACTGTATGAAAAGCTTGATATGCTCTGCCAGCAACTGGAATTCTGTCACTTCCTGTAAATATGAAAACACTTTTTATGGACACAAATGCACTTCCATGGGTAGTGACTGTATGCCAATAAAAGAGCATACAATCTCCGAACTGTTTGGGGGGAACCTTACTGAGCAGCATACCTGGCCTGCCTGTGATTAAATGCACGTTGGTACTATGGCAACACCACAGCCATCGGGCTCCTTCCTGTTTAGTAACTCCCTTATGTGTGTTTTGTCAAGCACTGAGGCAAAATAACATCCAGTCCTAATTCCCTACGTTTGAAGTGTTCTTAAAACACGTAAATATATACTGCAAAAATGGGGATGTGTCGTTCTGGAAAAGTCCAGATTGGATCCTTACTCTAGTTTATCTTTCTAAAGCAACCTTTTAAAACGCTTCCATTGGAGGCACGCAATGTTGAATGCCAGCAACTCTGGGGGGTTTCCCTTGAAATATTTATGAGTCAAGGACAGTGTGGAGTCAAGTGAGAGCTGGTTTCCACGCAAATGCTGCTTTGAAGGCAAATACAACAAAACATGAATATGTACACAAAGGCACCTGTTTTGCAGTCCAGGAACAGGCTGCTGCCATAACTAGGCCCAATGGCAGTAAACTAACAGAGTCTAAAGCTTCAGCAGTTACAGGCTTTTTGAATTATGGCATAATTTGTGCTTTGGGAGAAAAATCTGTTGTGTCTTTGAGGGTTATTTTAAGGCAGAGGGCAGAGACTGGGCTGCTGCTCTTAAATGCTGTTATCTTAAAATCTGCTGTTAATGCTGGAATGCAATAATGGTTCGGCTGCCTCCAGTTTAGAACCAGCTTATCCAGTGTGTGTGTATTTAATTACTTGTTACTATTCTTTAAATAGAAAATATAAAAGCAATGGCAGCGTGTATATTGGCTGTTCTGCCAATTCCAGACTGCCTGTTCTGCTAAGCGAATCACAGAATCATTCCGGTCGGAATCTCTCAGATCGCGCAGTCCAGCTGTCGGCCCATCCCGGCCACGCAAGTTCACCGTGCGTTTAGCCGCGGCAGACACAAAGTCCGAGCGCTCCCGCCTGCGGGGCGCCCCGTGCCTTCGGGCCGTAGCGGTTCCTGCACACCGCGGAGCAGCCGGCTCTATGTGCGGGCACGGCGGCTTTCCCGGGCCTTCCCTGCGTGAGTGGAAGGGCTGGAAGACCCCTACAGTTGTTAGAACAGCGAAATCACCGCACCGCGTCGCCGCAGGGGAAACGTACGGACAGCGCGCCCGGGCTCCGGCGCCGCGTTTCTAACCCGATGGGAAGAGCGGAGTTGGGGAGGGGAGCGGCCCGGCGGAACGGAAAGCAGCGGAACGCCGCGGCGCCGTCCCCGTTGCCGGCGGACGCGCGGAGCGGGAGCGCAGAGCGGAGCCATGGTGCGCGGCGCGGGGACGACCCGCGCCTTTGTCCGCGCCCTCAGCGGCCGGTGGGCGGCGGCCGGTGAGAGGGAGGGGGTTGAAGGGGGGCGAGCGGGCGGGGTCCGGTCCGGTCCGGTCCGGCGGTAGGATCTGCCGCCCCGCGGGGTGCAGCGGTCGGTGCCGCGCAGCCCGGTCTCCTCCAGAGCCGCCGCGATGGGGCCGGGAGGCGATTTGGAAAAGGCTGGAGAACGCGGCGGCCTCGGCCAGGCTGCGCCCCTCCCGGACGGGTTTCGCGCAGGCGTTTCGTGGCCGGTGCCCGTGTGCGTGAGCTGCGAAGGAGCGTGCAGCCGTGCGGTGAATCAGGGATGGCAGCCCTGGGGCTGTTTTATCCGGAAGCGTGTTTGTGCAGGCACGCTCAGAATAAACTGCTTTCCTTTTTCTAACGCAGCGATAACTAGTAGGTATTCCAAGTTGAGGCTGTTCGTACGTCCCAGAGCAGCGATGACAGGCCGGGTTGTTTTCTGCCCGCGAGCTGCGGAGCCGGCGTGTGCCGCTCAGTTCCCCGCTGTGTGTCTGCAGGTGGCCACGGCGAGCCGTCCTGCTGCACGCTCCCCACCAGCGCTCTCCTGAACCGTAATGGCAAAGTTCGGCTGAATCCCAGCAGCGCTCCGACTGACCTAAACGGCAGCATGTAAGGACTGGGGCTGGACTTACGCTGTGTGACAGGGGATGGCATCATGGCATCGCCTGAAGGCATTTCTAAATACCACAAATACTGGGAGTTGGATGAAAGCTTTTTTTAATTTTTTTTTAATTTTATTTATTTATTTTTTTTTTTTTAATTTTTCATCCTCTGATTATGAAGAATGTGTTTTCTCACCATAGTTCAGGTATTAGTTTCATGACGTGGCTTTCGTTGCTCAGGGTCACCGTGAGGAGGCTGCTCAGCACCTCGCAGTCGTCAGTGGATCCAAAGGAATTGAGGAAATTCCAGGTCCTGGCACACAGGTGGTGGGACGAGCAAGGAGAGTACTCAGCCCTGCATTCCATGAATGACATCAGAGTGCCGTTTATTAGGTGTGGGTTTGAAGACAGGTGTTTTTATGGGAAATATTTCCCTGCAACCTCAGAAAACACGGAGAATGTATAACCATTAGCAACACGTAAGTTAAATGCGTGTTGCATTTACTGAACCACCCTGTGTGTTTGCCCCTTTCTGCTAGAGACACTGTGCTGAACATGGGCAGCACCTACCAGCAGGGAAGCCCACTTTCTGGGATCAAGATTCTGGATGTTGGCTGTGGTGGTGGACTGCTGAGTGAGGTAAGAAACGGTGTGCTCCTGTTTTTCCTGTTAAAAAGCACGTGTGTTTTTTGAGTTAACTGTGATGCTGTTCCATTTCTAATCCTCAGAGAAGGAGCTCTTCTCTTTCAGTGATGCCTTAGTTAGCAGTACAGACAGGCTGCTGAGCGGTCTGCAGAACCTGGGAGCTGAGAAGTGGAACCAAATGGTTGCACAGGCCCCAAGCAGCGCTGTATCTCATCAGTAGATGATGGGTGGTTTGTAGCTTCAGCCGAGCGATCCTGGGAACTTTATCAGTATCTGAAATGAAGTGTTGCAAATAATCTCTCCCTATTTGTTTTTTTTTTTCTTCCCTAATTCATTCTGAGCAAAATCCTTGGCTTAATGAGAGCCTGCTCTCTGACAGGACGTGCAGAACCGGTGTGCTGCCTGGCTCTCTTAGGCTAATAACTGGTGGATTTCGGGTTGGAATAACATACATGTGGTCATGTTCAGCAGCCTGTTTCGGTTTCAGGAGAGGTGATGACTGAGGTGTTAACCTATGAGTAAGAAGACACTGGAAAAGCTTGAGTGACAGCCAAGCCTGCTGCTATCCTAGCAAGCATCAGTGTTCAGTTCTCAGCAGTGAGAAAGCCCCAGATATAATCACGTATTAAGTAACCATTAAAAAGATATGAGGATTTGCCTTTACAGATGGATGTTGAAGAAAGTAATGACAGTAATTAAATAAGGCACTGTTTTCCCTCTTTACATACTGTGTTGATTTTCCTCCTTTGTTTTTCCTCTACCTGAGGGTAATGTTGGAGGAAATCTTTATTTGGGACAACAAAGTGGACTCAGAATCTGTTTTTCTGAAAAATACTGTGTATTCTGGTATTTAGTTTTCTGTCTGAGAAAATTATTGCTCCCAATGCAGATAAAGCTAAGTGCTTTTATTTTCCCTTTAATTAACATTTAAAATAAAACTGCTGGGCCAGAGCTCGTCATTTATTGGCATTTGCCTTGTTTCCTGCATCACCTATGGACATTGTGAAATTGAAGGCACCTTTAATTAAAAAAAAACCTCTGCTTTCACGCGGAGAATAAATTACACTTTGTATTCTTAGCCTCTAGGTAGACTGGGAGCTTCAGTTACTGGAATTGATCCTCTGGAAGAAAACATCAGAGCGGCGGATCAGCACAAGTCATTTGATCCAGTTCTGGCCAAGAGAATACAGTACAAGTCTAGCTCACTGGAGGAGATTGTGGAGGAGTCTGTGGAAATGTTTGATGTAATTGTAGCTTCTGAAGTCGTGGAGCATGTGGCTGACCTTGAAATGTTTATCAAGTGTTGCTGTCAGGTGTTAAAGGTAAGAGAGTTCTTGCTTTCATTATTGGAAATATTCTCTTTTATTATGGAGATTTTCATTTGAAGGTATGTGAGAATGCCTCCATCTGCATCCCTTTCTCCACTTGGGTGCACGAGTGCTGAGACGTGCTCCAAAGGTGTGAGTACATCTTCCTACCTTCAGGAACCTGAAATTGGAGCATATTTATTTCCCCTGTCCTGCCTTAGGAAAGTGTTAGTGGCATTACCTACTGTTGAGATACAGCTTTGCATCATAAATCTGGTTGCATCCCATTTCATCTAGGTAAAACAAGTCAGTGCTGCTGGGGATGGAGTGCAGTGGCTCAGACTGCCTTTAAACTGACTGTAATAACGTTTCTGGTTCAGAAGAAGCTCCTGAGTTGCTTATAAAGGGTGATAGTGATCCTCAGAGATAATCAGGTGTTGTTTTATTCCTTTTGATATCTTTGCAAAGAAGGATGGTAGGCCTGGTGTGCAAGCAGCATCTCTCTAATCTCATGATGTTTCTTTTTGGTCATCAGAAGGAATAATAGATTATTTGAATGGAATTTTTAACTGATTTTTGGCCATCTGGGGACATAGAAATTATCCTTTTTTTCCTACCAAAAAGTCTCTTAAATGCTTAGAATTCATTCCTGGCTTTGGATTTTGTCCCTGTCATCATTAATGCAAGCACTATGTTCAGCAGTCTGGTAAGTTGAGCAGTATTGCATGTTGTACTAAAGCTTCAATTTAAAAACAAACAAACCAACATAACACATCTTTGTTTTTACAACAGGTCCTGTATTGACTTTATGCCTTTCTTTTATCCATTTCCTGGGCAATATTATAACTGACTTTGTTAGATGGTTTCTGTGCAAGGAAGTGGTTTCTGATTATGGTTATGTCACCTTGTAGCATATGGGCTTGTAGATAGACAGCTTAAGCTTTAATGAGAGTGAATTTAAAGTGTATTTTCAAATGAATGTTTTTCTGATTTAACATTTTAATATTTTAACTAGCCTGGAGGTTCTTTGTTCATTACTACAATCAATAAAACTCAGTTGTCCTATATCCTGGGAATTGTGGTTGCAGAAAAAATAGCAGGCATTGTACCAGAAGGAACACATGACTGGGAGAAGTTTGTTTCCCCAGAGGAGCTGGAGCGCCTCTTGGAAGCGAGTGAGTAGTGGGCTGGGTGATGGGAGCATGGGGAGAGACTCAGTGCTTGCTGTAGGAGTGGCAAGGGGATAGGAGAGCTGGGGTGATTGCTGTTGGCAGCATGCAGCTTTTCCTGTGTGAGTTACTAGTCAGTAAGTACCATTTCTGTGTTAGAGACACTGCTGCTTGCTGGCTATTGTATAAACAAAATGGAGTTGTAACGAATGCAGAGATTAGTCGAACAAAATCACCATTACAGCTGTCCCACTGTTGGACAGCTGAAGCAAGAAGGCCAAGGTTTTCCATCCTGTTCTGGTGGCAGGATGTACACTCTGAAGTGGTTCATATCTTCTAGGTCAGGTTTCAGGAAATAACTGTATTGGCACTCCGGAGCTGCCCTGCTGCACTGCTTTGTTTGTCATCTTCCTGCTGCGAGGTGTTTTATTTTTGGTTGTGGCTCCATGTTCTTTATGAATATTATGTTACTAAAAGATTCCTTAAAGATTGTGAAGGTGAAATCTACCACAAGTACAGCAGTCAGTTCTTGAGAAGCAGTACCATGCTGATTTGATCAAAGCAGCTGTGGTTTGATGGCTTTTACAAGAGAAAAAGTACTGAGCTGGAAAGAACTCTGCTTCATTGTCCTCCTTCTCTAAACGTGCTTTAAAACCCTCTCACCAAATATTTCACTCTCCTTTAGTTCACTGTAGGGAACCTGATGTATGAGTATTCTCTTGGTAAGGCCTTTGCACAGCACCTTCCAGAGGTGCCATCAGGATCACGGCCCGACTCAACGTGCTGGTGCTTGTTGCTTTTCTCTCCTGAAAAGGAGAAGCAGGTGCAGTGGAGTGATTTGTTTTGACTGGCTGTTTGTTTTCTGCCTTGTCTGCTGCATCCTACTGGGACATGGCAGAGGCATGCAGTGAACTGAGAGCTGCTCAACAGGGAGTGCTAAATCACTCCTTGCTTACGCCAAGTTTTTGATTGCACTCTTCTGCCTTTCTTATATTTCCTCTTCTTAAGGGGATCTGCAAAGTCCTTCCAGAGACGTGCTCACATTTTGATTTTGAAGCATGTGGTGTCAGTCTGAAGGATGTGTCTGTCTATAAGAAAAACCAAAACTTTATCATTCACCCACACGTGGTTGGTTGTTTGTAGCGTATCTCCTTGCAGTGGCTTACCATATAGTGGTAATGGTGTGGTCATTGCTGCTGCTGGTGTCTGACAAAAGCAAGCTTGTGAAGCACAATTCCACAAGTGGAAGAAGCGTATTTCAGACTTGCTGTTCTAAAGTGTTTGATGTGGCAGTGACTCAGAAAGAAAATGTTTCTTTATGCCTTCTTACTTTTCTAGATGGCTTCTCTGTCAAGGCTGTGAATGGGATGCTGTACAACCCCCTCACCGGGTCCTGGAGCTGGATTGAAAGCACAAGCATTAACTATGCCCTGCACGCTGTGAAATCCGGGGGTCAGGCACAGACAAGCCAAACAGAGCCTCTCTCAGAGATGGAAAGCGAACAGTGCTCGGCCACAGCTGGCACCAGCGTGTGACCAGCTGAGATACATGCTGATGGACTGCCACCAGGAACAGAAAAGGTTTTAGACAGGCACAATAAAGCCTTTTGTAACAACAAGCTTGCTGTTTGCATTAATAATGTTGATGCCATTTTTGGCCAAATGTTTTGGGCAGTCTCAGAAAAAACAAGTGCCTGTTATCTCAGGAATCCTTTAAGATTGAAATGAGAAAAGCTCTGGAAGAAGTCTTTTTATAAAAAAAAGAAGTTTCAAATTGTTCCCTCAGTAGCTTTGAGAAGGTTCTTTCTTTGGATGATGATGTTTGTGTCATCTGAGGAAAACTTGTCTCTCCGTAGAATGATAGCTTAAATGCAAGATGAGTTGGAAAGCACAATGTATGGGAAATGCTTTAGATATTTCAGTTACTCATGTATGAAGTACTTCATGTTAAAATTCATGTACATTTAAAAGCCACAAAACCACAATCACCACTTCTTTCCACACTGTGCCTTCTTCCTGAATGGGGAAGGAGGATGCTGAAAGAAGAGTAGCAACCCTTTGCTGTTGGGTTGCGCTGTTTCTACAGCTGATCACTGCGGTGGAAAGAGAGTCTTACAGCCCAGAGTGCCTCTGCTGTCAGAAGTCTCATCTCCGTGAGGTGGCTTTATCTGTGCCTATTTTAACCTTCTCCCTGTTCTCGAATAAAGGACAGTAAAGCTGCAGGTAGAACTTTACTAAGCAACTGGAGCTTTTTGCTAGCTACACATTGCATTAGTGGGCTGTCCTAGAATTGAAATGCCATACCTAGTCGTTTGTGAAGTTCTTGTGCCAGCATAAGGAAAAGTGTTCATTGAAACAGGACTTTCTAAATAAAACTTCTCTTTATGGTTCTATCTCTTTTCTCCTTCACTTTCCCTTGGCTTATATATAGGCAAAGAGGTGGCTTGGCTGTGTTTTTAATTTTCATCCCTGCAAACTGAAAATGAAACTTCTTCTGTTGGATATTTCACCTGTTGCAGAGGTTTAGTGGGCTAAATTACTATATTACATATTTGTATTCTTGCTGCTTTGCTCTGTGGTACTTCAGAATCAAAGCATTGGATCTAATGATGTATATAAGAATATAGTTAATTACTAAGGGAAACAGTAGTATTTCACAGATATCAAATCTGAAAGGACTCTCTACTGTGAATGTTTGTGTGACAGTAAATTCTGCTTTGTAATATCTGTGCTATAGTTTGGCTTCTGGGAAGAAAAACTATCTTGACGTGAAGAGTTCAGCGACGTAGAAGGCAGTATATAGGGCTCATGTATGGCATGGGCACCTCACCTACTGTTGCTACACATGTACAGAAACCCTGTCAAATGCGAGAGTTAAGTGGGTGGCACAGACCTTGTAGCCTGTTGATGTGAAAATGTGGTAAGGAAGCTAAGTCAAATAAATTTGCAAGCCTTTGGCTTTTCTGTTGCAAGTTGTTTCTAAGTATGGAGCCATAGTCTTGAGGCTTACAAGAGCAGAGGCTGAAAAAAAAGAAATGTTATAACAGCAGGTAAGCAGCTGGGACTAGGGGTGAGGCAGGAGTGATTCTTGCCTTGAGATTGGGGAAAAAAGGTTTTTTTTTTTTTTCAGCTTCTATATTTATTTGTTACCCCTTGAACCTCCTGTTTCTAGCCATCTGTTTCTGTAACACAGCAACAGATCTGATCACACAGAGCAAAGATCTGATCTGTCTAAAACGTGCAACAGAGCAAACTCTGTTGTTCTGGCCAGTCTAAGCTGTTAGCTCTGATTTGGCTCCTATGTCTGAGCTCTCCCACCCTGGTTCATGCACTACGTTACCGAGTCTGAAGCTTCTCCAAGTTGTTTGCACTCTGATTCAGCTTACTTGCCCAATAAATAATTATCTCAGTTTTCTCAGTTCTTTTTTTGGGGGGGGGGCAGTGGTTGTGTTCTGGGAGAGGAATTTTTCCACTGCTGAGGACATACAGCAGCCACATGGAGAGATAAGGGTGGGGCAGGATGGCCCCTCAAGGGGCAGGATGCTTCCAGCAAGATGAACCTCTCTTGTAAAACTGCCCTTTCAGATAATAATTCAGATGTTAATTGCTCTCTAGCCTAATACGAGAAGTATGAGATCCTCAGAAGAGATTTGCATATAATTTTCTTTCTAAATAAAAACAGAACTTGGAAGCTTCCCTGATGTTTCGTTATGCTATCTCACTGTCCATTGTTCCCTTGTGATCAAGTCTTTTTTAGACCACTTTAACAGAACCTGAACATTTCTGTACACGTGTTTGCAAACATCCTGCATTAATTCCCTAGGGAGTGGAAGAAAAAGGGACTGAAAAAGGTTGTGACTGTGAAGGGAAAGGAGAAGCTGATTTCAGAAAAACTTTCTGCAAGATGGTCTCAATTCTGAAGTTCTTTCATTATGTTGAAACCTCAGCTTTAATTAAAAGAAAGAAAAAAAAAAGATTTCTCCAAGTGCTTCTTAAAAATGCTTGGAAGAAATAATGGCATGCAATTGAGAGGTTCAGAGGCCAAGGGGTCCAGCTTCTATAATTAACTGGTCTGATGAAGAAGGCTGGAGGATAAGTGAAACAAAAAGATGAACCACCATCAAAGCGTTGATTATGTGGCTGCAGTGCTTTGAGAGGATCTCAGTTCCACCTGAGTCTTGTCATATTAACCCCTGGTGCCTTGTTTCAAATACCTGCCCCATCACCAAGCTCCTGGGAAGGAAAGTTGGGCTCCTCTGGCTTCAAATTGAACACTGGTCACTTATTACTCAAGAGGAGCTGCTAGATCCTCCCTTATGGTGTTTCTTACGTTTAATCAGTCTAGTACTCTGATGCTTCCAGGTGGAATCCCACAGTAGATCTTTGTGCCCCATATCCCCTTTATTGGAAACATACACAGTCACAATACTTCTTTGCTGTGTATCCCAAGATGGTGAAGGGCTCTAGAGGGGATGATGTACAAGGGGTGGCAGAGGTCCCTTGGTTTGCTCAGCCCAGAGCAGAGGAGCTGAGAGGAGGCCTGATGGCAGCTGTAGTTCCTCACAGGGAGTGGAGGAGCAGCGCTGAGCTCTCTGTGACAGCGACAGAGCTGTGCCAAGGCAGGGCTTTCTGCCCTGACCTCCAGAACCCTCTGCCAGGCTTTGTTGAGTCCACAGAGACAGTAGCACTTAGCACACAGCTGCCCATCAGCATCTCTAAAGAAGGTTTTGTGGTTTATTTCTTCACTGCCTTGGAATAGATTTCTACTTTTTCTGCCCACGGTGGATTTTATTGCACTATCTCCTGCTTCATGATGGGATGAGTGACCAAAAAACTGTTATGTAATGCACATCTCGCCATCATAATCACATATTTTTCCCCAGCTCCAATGGAAGTAGAATATTGTTTTTATAACCTTTTTAAAATCAATTAATTTTGCTTAGACTGAATGCTACCATAAATTTCAACAAAAATATAATTCTTTTCAGATTATTTTTTGTGATAAAAATCAACTTGTTTTTCCCCTGCTTCCTGCAGGCTATAGGATAAATCTCTGCCCATTTAATATTCTCACCAACCTTTGTATCACAGTGACTGTTTTGTATCTCCACACATCACCATTTTCTTGAAGCAATATAAAATGATGTCATGTTTGACCCTAGCTAGAATGGCTGGGTTTTTGTCTGGGATGTAAAACCACCTGACCTGTCATAACTTACACACATTGCACACCCACCTCTCCTGATGACATCAGTGCATTAGGAGCTCAGGATATATATCTGATATACATTTTATCATGTTTTTATTCCCATGTGGAGTCACTCCAGTGATGTAATCAATATTCACTGTCTCTAAAAAACACATTATTTTTTCTTCTTAAAAGGACTGTGAAGACCATTACTGTTCCATTAATAAATTTGAAACCTCTTGTGTCCTCATGAGTTGGGCCAACTGAAAAAACAAACCCGAAATAGCTGAAATTAAAATGTAAATATGGCCTTAAAATTAAGCTACTGTATTATATAGACTTGTAATAGAAATTATAGGAAAAGATTTGAGGTGTTTATTCTCCTGAATGACAATATGCACATACTGAGGTCATGGAAGTGTGAGTCTGAATTCCTCTGATGGGATGATTATGTTGCCAGCTAATACCTGAAAAGGAGGGAAGGTGGGAGCCATCGCCCTGAGCAGCAACTGCAGTGGGTTCCTGGAACTGTACTGCTCTGGGAAAGCTCCAGATGAAAGATCCGACCACAGAAGTGTGCAACCTGCCAGCTGTCCAGAAAGCTCATATTATAATATCATTAAAAATGACTGAGGGAACCATGAGACTGGTTTGTCAAACTGGGGTTTTTGGTTTTTTTTTTTCAGTTTACCTAGTTCATAAAATAGAATCATGGAATCATTAAGGTTGGAAAAGACCACTAAGATCATATAGTCCAACCAATATAAATAACTTACGAACGTGGCCAGCTTAGCACTGAGCTGCCAGCCAGAGCACTGCCATATGCAGAAAGCAGGAAGCTTCTTGCATAGCCATTTTTTTTTTTTTTTTTTTGGGCAGAAGAAGGAACACTGAGCTATTTTCATCATTTGGGGCAGTCTCATGGTGTGAGTCACCTCTGAAAGTGGCCTTGTTTATCAGAAGGTGCGAGGTAAACTGGGACTTACGTACAGGTCCTTCCATATAGAAAAGTATTTAGATTCTGGCTGTTCTACATTTTCCATGTATTTTTAGGCTTGTATTTAATTAAAGTTCTCACCAACTCCTTTTCTGCATATGAACTGAAATGCAGCATGAACGCTTTACAGCTACACCTTGGCTATTTTTATCTGAATAATTAAAGAGTTGTGTGTATGAAACCCAAGCTGCCCAGAGAGATCATTAATATTACAACAAAACAAACCCTGGCAGCAACCAGTGACTGTTTCAAAAGGAACTTGCAGAGCCTGCTGGCTATGATGAGCTTTTTTTCACATTCTCAAACTCTATCAAATGAGGTCTTCTGCAAGCAAGGTCTCAGTACATTCAAGTTGTTTCAAGCAGAAGAAAAACATTTCTGTGCCCAGCCAAGCCTTCCCAGAGGATGCTCTGCCAGCACACAACACGAGGTCCTACCTGAGTGGCACTGTCACTGGGGCTGGCAGGTCTCCACACTGGCACTGTGGGGTGGTTTCCCTTCGGACAGAGCATCTCTAGGCAGTGCTTACAGGAGAGTTTCTTCCAAGCATCCAGAAAGAAGGAGGATCGCTTAACGCCGTGCTGCCTGGGGACTAAGCAGGAAACAATCTGTATCAACTAATGGAGCTGTTAAAGCATTACTTTGCTCAAGCTCTGGCCGCTTGGAAGGAGACAGCAGGAGCTGTGGGGTGGTGAGATCAGCAGCAAATGAGTGGTCCTTTTTCTTGAAGATCTGCTCTCCAAAACCAACCAACAGCAGCAGAGGAAAGCAAACCTCAGGTGAGGCAACAACGATACCCAACTCAGAAGTCTGATGAGGTCTCAGGCCCCGACATAATATAGTGAAGGTATAGACACGTGGATGTACATCTACTTGTTCTGATGTTCCTTGCCCCAAGAAGTGAGATGAGATGGATGACATCCAGCTGAGGGGCAAGCTTTGATTTTTCCTCCCATAAATGAGAGAGCAAGGCAGATCTTGTGGCCTTCTTCCAATCTGTGCACTATCTTAACACCAGCAAGGGCACAAGCTGGAATGTCAGCACAGAGCAGTGACTTTCTGAGTGTGAGCTGCTTCCTTCAAAGCACCAGCTTTGCTCACCTCATGCAGGGCAGTGCCGAGGTGAACGATTTAATGTCTGCTTCCTGCTTTCCTCTCACACACAACTTGTCACTCCGTGTGCTGGAAATGATTTGGAGCACAGATTTTAAGAGAGCTCATTTGCCTCTGCAAATGTGGCAGCTGCGATGTGGATGCCCAAGACCTCTCCCTTCCCTCCCAGAAGCTCAGATCCCATCTGTAATTGGATCATTCTTATCTGTACCACAGGATCCTTACGGCAGCAACTGCTGAGATCAGCCACCAAGCAGTAGCAGCCCAGATTTATTGGGCTGTCTGCACTGAAGCAGATCTTAACCTGAGATTTGCAGGTGTTGGTGCAAAGAACTTTTCCTTGTCTTATTTGCTGCCCTAGTGTAACATTTAGCAGAACCTCATCACGTCTCCCTGCCTGCCTGTACTTTGCTGTTTGTGTACTGCCTATAGCAAGGAATGGCCCCAGTTCCATGAAGGAGCTGTGCCAGCAGCTCACTAAGGGTGAGGGAGAGCAGCAGGGCTTGAAGGGAGCAACCTGTGTGTGGAGTGGGATTTGCTGGGACCTCTGGTCAGCATCTCAGAGCTGGCTGCCAAGCTGCTTGTGCGCTGTGCCCTGGGCCCCAGGAGCTGAGGGCAGGCTGCAGCACACAGTGATCCCACCTTGTGCACCTGCCTCGTACTTGTTTTAAAGCTGTTCTGCTGCCTTTCTGCTGTGCCCTTCTACTCCTGGAGGCGTTCTGCTCCCTTCTGCTGCTGACCTTGTCAAACATCAGGATAACAGAGCAAGATAAGCACTCTGTCTCAAGCATTTGGAAGAGGGCCTTGCTGTTTCGTGCTGTGACTGGGTACCAGTATGTTATGGCAGGTGTCCCTCATCTCAGCCACTCGCTAGCGCACGAGGCCCCGCTCCTCGGTGAGAAGCACAGCAGCGCGTCCCCTCTCACAGCGCCGTGAGGAGTCCCCCCACCCGCAGCCTTGGGTCAGGACTCGGCCGGGCAGATTCGTCCCCGCGCTCAGGGCGGCGGGTGCCCCCCTCAGGCCGCTCTGCGCACCGCCGCCAGCCCCGCGCAGCCGCGCCGCGAGGGCGGGAGGGGGCCGGCAGCCGGCGGAGCCGCCCGGCCGGGCAGGGCTGCGCGGGGCCGGGCCGGGCGGAGAGGAGCGGGGGATGCGGGGCCCGTGCGCAGCATGCTGTGGGGAGTCGGGCTGGCGGCGCCTCGCTCCTGCGTGGCGGACTTGAGCCGCAACCGCAGCCTATCGCTGGGCTGGTGCGCGGGGCCCGAGGAGCCGCCGCCCGCACTCTATGGGGGCGAGCTGGTCGCCTTCCCGCTGGCGGGCGCGGGGGCGGGCGGCACCATGGCGGCGCTGGGCTCCGACTCTTGGTGGAAGAAGACGCTGTACCTGACGGGCGGCGCGCTGCTGGCCGCCGCCGCCTACCTGCTCCACGAGCTGCTGGCCATCCGGTGAGCGGGATGCGGGATGGGGTGCCTCGGCGCCCCGTTCTGCCCCGCAGCCATTTTGCGTCGCCCGGCGCAGGGGCGCGGTGCGTCCCGGGGACCCGGCGTCCCGCTTCGGGGCCGGGCACCGCGGGGAAGCGACGAGCGGGGGCGTCGGGTGGCGGCGCCGTGCCCTCTGCGGAGATGGTGGGCGGCGGCTGCCCCGGTGAGGGGGAGCGGGAACGGGGGCCGAGGGCCGTGCGGAGGACGGGCGGCGGAGCAGCTTAGAGTGGGGCTGAGGGGCGGTGAGCCGGCTGGTGCCGGGATGGAACAAAGCCCGGCCCGAACACGGTGGAAATGGCCGGTGGCTGCTTCGGGGCGGCTGGAGCGGCGCTCACCTGGACGGGAAGGTGGCGAGGCCCGGTGTTGCGCCCTCCTTGGGCGCGGCGTGCGTGCGGTCCGCAGCCCTGCGGCGGGACGGGACCGCGGGGCCTGGGCCTCATCGCTGCTCCTCTTACGGGAGGCCGTGGCAGCTTCCCGCGGTACCCAGCGTGCGAGCAGTCGGGCTGCCGCAGCAACGACGGTGCGTTATAGCGGCCCTCGGTCTGACGAATAAAATATTGCGGTCGTACGTGAAGGGAGGATGCGTGTTTGGCCTCCACTGGGATTTTTCCTTTGTGTGTTTATAACGCTGATTTATGATGCATCCTTTGTTTTGGTTTGGTTTTTTTCCCCCCCCCTTCTTAATTTGTTCCGTTTTCTGGCAGGAAAGAGCAGGAGATTGATTCAAAAGATGCTATCATACTGCATCAGTTTTCAAGGCCCAACAATGGCGTTCCAAGTCTGTCACCTTTCTGTCTGAAAATGGAAACATACCTAAGGATGGCTGACCTACCCTACCAGGTACATCCTTACTGTTCTCCTTTATGCCACAGCTCACTGTAGGTGCTTGAAATAGGCATCTCTCCAATCTTTCTCATGCAGAGAAATGTAAATATATATGTACAGCTGTCCAGGTAGGTGACAGCTCTTTTGTCTCTGGTGATATTTGGTGTATAATCTTTAAAGTTACCACTTGAATGTGGTTGATGTAGAGCAGCTCTAGGTTTAATTGGTAAAGCAAAGCGAATGTTGGAAGTTAACTTGTCTGGAAATGCTAGGAGAATAGCTTGCAGTTCATTGAATAATACTGTAACACTGAAGGACAGTGTTACATGATCTTTGAAGTTGTCCATGCTGAACGAGGTGAAGTGGCTGCAGCTTCCTGTTTTCCAGAGGGTTTCACCCTGGTGCTCTCTTGGGAAGATGTGTCTCTCTTCTGCTTTGCCTGGTGTCACCCCATGTGGCCTCCCCTCCCATGTGGGAAAACAGGGTTGCTCTGCAGGCCTGTTCAGCTGCGAGGCTTTGAGTTGGGTGCGTGCTGTCTGGTGGTGTCACCAAGCAGGTTGTGCAGAAAACAAAATCTTTGAGACCTTGGATGGATCTTTCTGCTGTTTGTATAAAGCATGGAAGTCACTGCAGATGTCGTATTTGTTGTTACTGTTGTACTGAGAATCTTAGGTGGAAGAAGTCTCTTTTCCCCCAAGTTATTTAAGTCTGGGCTCTTACTTTGCCTCAAATGCTCTGAGCTGTGGCTGAGTCGCATGCTTACCTTGGCTGGGTTCAAGTCACTTTTTTCTGCTGCACATCCAGGTATTATGAAGAATGTTTTGATTGCATCTGGTCTTTTGCAGAGGAAAAAAAATGTTTGAGAACTTGATTTTGTATTTGTGATTGATATTCATCCACATTTGTATGTGATTAAGCTCCTTTATTTTGAATGTGAAAGAAAGTCTATTTAGTACATTGGGCTTAAGCATTTAAAAGCATACATTTTAATGTTTACTATATTAAGATTTAATGGAACTTGAACAAGGTACTTCAGAGCATTTAGCAGGGAACTGGACTGGATGGCCTCTGGAGGTCCCTTCTGACCTCTGCCTTCTATGGTTCTGTGAGAACAGGCTGAGGGATGCAGCCAGAGACATACTGTGGGTCATCACCTTCCTGGGCAAGGGCTGCTTAGAAGGGGGAGAGTAAAGCTGAGCTGTGTTTTCAAAATGTTTGATGCTTTTCTTCATAAAGCTCGTGATACAGGAGCCCATGGTGGGTGTTTATGGAAGCCTTTTGTTTGTTCCTTTATTTCATTATGACTATTAAGATTTGGCTATTTCCATAATCTAACGAGTGTTTGCGCAGCAGCACTGTGTTGTTTTCATACCAGGTCTGTGGAGATGGCAGACGGCAGTCTCTATGAGAAGAAACATGAGGAAAAATAAAGCATAAGCTACAGTAATTGAAAATGCAGAGCCTAATTTCTTCTGAAGAGTACTATAAAATTACCCCAGAAGAGCCCTGTGCTGTGTGGTTTATAATTTCCTCTATAAATGAGGTTCTCAGGAGCTTTGTAGCCTGCAGTTCAGGTTAAAGTACTATGAGGCATGAGGGTGTTTTTTTTTAATGACACTACCATAGCCTTCCTGCTTTGCAGCTGGACCAGTTTTCAAGTGGAAAATTGGTAAATATTTGATGGCAATTAGTAGCAGCCGTAAGAATACTGAGGTTTCAAGCCTGAAAATATCCACTTGAGAACAGCAGATACAGGAACTGTAGAACTGAAATTTTCCCAAGATAAAGGTTTTTTTAGGTCATTGAAAGACATTTCCTGATTTGTTTGATAAACTATATGCAATGAAACATGAAAATCCTGCAACAGTTTTTTGGTTGTTTTTTTTGGGTTTACCCAAATCGACTCTCCTGAAAGAACTTCACCCATCATTTGCATTTTTAAAAATTGTGATATTAATGCAGCGTTAACACAACATTTTACACGATGTATTTGTGTGCGTGTATGTGGATGAATAATAAGAATCTGCTTTGGTTGGGTTGCAAATGACACGGACTGCAGTAATTGTGTGTAGTAAGCTCATCTTCAGCTGCTTCTGCAGAACATCAGTATTTGTGTGCAGGAAGGTAAATCGTACTGAAGGTGCTATGGACTTCATGCTCTCTATTTGGTTTCAGGTGTTGGGCAGTTTTGGTGTTTCTCCTGTTGATCAGAGCAGTCACCTGCACGTGCAGGCAATGTGGATTCTTCTGCTTTGTTCATCTAGGCTTGGATGCAGTAGATCAGAGGTTACATAATCCAGTATTCCTGCTGTAAGATTCTTGCTTGGGCAGAAGTCCCAGAGAAGGCTGAGACCGGAAGGTTTTGTTTTCTCAGCAGTGTTACCCATTCCTTCTGTTTTGATCTGAAAGGGTTGAGCTTCTGGGAGTGGCCACACATGGGCAGTGGTTGCACACTCGTGTTTTAAGCAATAACCAGGAGGATGTGCATTCAGGCTAAGCTGGAGCCACTGGTGCAGGGTGACCCTCTCTAGCTTCAGTGAAAAAATATGTTATTACTGCTGTACAAGTGTTACATGGAGGAGATGTACCCATGTTCAGCAGCTGGCTAGTGCTGTGCTGGACAGCAGAGCTGTGTCCTCATAGATCCAATTGGAAGTGTGTCTGATGATATAGGAGATTTCTAAGTTACAAAATTGCTGAAGGGCATATAAAGAGAGATTTCTCTCCTGCCTGGTGAGGGAATAATATGTCTTTGAACTGTGGGCTCTTGATTGTGTTTTACCCTCAGAGACGGTACAGCTATCTGATACAGGCAGTGAATTTGGATGTCCTGTCCCTGGAGGCATTCAAGGCCAGGTTGGATGGGGCCCTGGACAGCCTGATCTACTGGGTAGCAGCCCGACCCATGGCAGGGGACTTGGAACTCAATGATTTTTAGGATCACTTCCAGCTAAGCCGTTCTATGATTCTGTGAATAAGCATTTATAACGTACTTTAACACAAAAAGTGCTGCTCTGTGTGAGAGCCAAATTAAGGCATGATTCCTGTGATTAAAAACTTGTTTAGAATGATGGACCCAATCTTCTGAGAGATCTGAGTGTCCCCATCCCCTTAAACAACTCACGTCCTTAAATAATATTAAATTACATGGCATCTAATATAAAAATATGCAACGCATTGCAGGACCTGGAAATAATCATTTGGAGTTTTTCGTATTGCACAGAGTTGTTGCTCCAGTTGAATAGCTGCAGTTATCCTGGAGTGTTAATTAAGAAATAATGTTGCTTTTAAAAACACAGAAAGTTATATAAAAAAGCTTTATTCTTACTGAAATGGAATCTGAAGGGCCTTTTTTTTTTTTTTTTTTTTTTTGTCTATATGTTTGTTTGTTTACTTGCTTTTTTTTTCCTTAGAACTATTTTGATGGAAAACTTTCCCCTCAAGGAAAAATGCCTTGGATTGAATACAATCACAAAAAAGTGTCTGGCACTGAGTTCATTATCGACTTCTTGGAAGAGAAACTTGGAGTGAATTTAAATAAAAATCTTGGTCCACGAGAAAGAGCTGTTTCCAGAGCAGTGACAAAGATGGTGGAGGAGCATTTCTATTGGTAAGCTTGCATGAAAAGCCTGGCTGTGTTCTGCTGTCAGACCTGTACTGTTTGTCTAGGAGTGAATACTTATTTTGTCTTGGATACCCAACTATTAATTTCACAGCTTTTTTCACTGTGGAAAATTGCTGCTGCTTTCTGCTTGTGCTGGAATGAGTCAGGAGTAACTCCCTCAAGAGCTGCAGTGATGTGTGGGCAAGGTAAGGAGTTGGCGTTGCAGAAAGGAACAGCAGTGGGCTGTCTGTCTGTCCTTTTCCTATGACCTCCATGCAGAAGCAGCCTTGCTAATAAAGAGCAAAATCCAACGTGGCTGAAAAGATGGGAGGTGTCAGAGGGGAAACAAACAAAATCCAGCGTATGGAGTGAGTCTGAAATATTATGGATATCCTTACACTTACTGGTTTTAATTATCTGTATGTGTGATTGCAGTATGGATTACTGCCTCGTTACTCCTGTTAGTAAGTATTGTTGGCATTAGTGCCAGTTGATAAGGTGCTGTACTAGTTGTGGTACCCCAAGAAGATCAAAAATGGATGTGATGGGAAACCTAAATATAGCTTTGCTGATACTTCATGCATTTTACTGATACCTTTGAATACAGTGTCTGTGATTTTTATTTTTTATTCTTCCTGTTCCCCCACCCCAACTTTTCAATCCTTTTTTTCCAAGTGTCCTTTCCTGATCCATAGAAGCAGCAGGTGAACATGGCATTTTGGGTATGGCATTGGATACTTTGGCAGGCGTAAGGCTTTTTCCCAACAGTTTGCTTTCTTGCATGCATTTGAAGTTGTTGTTGTACTGAGCCTTGCATTCAGACATAACTTTTTTTTTTTCCTCTAGAAAAACTGTGTGATATAACTAGAATGCATTTACCTTTCTTCCTTTCATCTTCTTATTGAAGATCAGCAGCAACATGTGCACGCATAGTATTTTGAATCATTTGTAACATTTCCTGGGAACAGTTGTAGCATTCAGTAGTTTAAATGCTATGATTTAAGAATGTAATCCTTAGCTTCCCAAAAGTATGACTTTCACTAGTGAGACCTATCTGCAGTGTCTTCTCAGAAATCTGACTGCAGCTCTCAAACTGCAGTAGTCTGCAAGTGTGATTTCTTCATTTTGTTGTTCCTTTTTTTCTCCCATACTTGTAGCTGCCAGAGGGAAGATGTGGCCTTTAGATCCCTTAATGCTCCATCTCCTTACCTAAGTGTATTGATTGTTTCATGGTCCACAGGCTTAACTGCTTTTAATGTAACATTACTGATGACAAACTTGCACAGCTCTTGTGTTTCTGAATTATAAATTGCTCTTTCCTTGGTGAAGCCATTGGCTGTCCATCCATGTTCCTACTGAGCTCATTCAGCCCTGCTGGGCACGAAATAGGAGAGCATGGGACACAGGTACTACAGATTCAGGTGTTGAGCTGGGGCACTGAAGTAGATGGACAAAGCAATAAGTAGGAAAAAAAATAGGCACGTGCCTCATTGTGTATCCCTCTTTCCTTTTCTCTTTAGTCATGCAGGTGAGTTTCCCAAGGGCAAATATTTTTTTACTGCAGAATAGAAAGACCCAGCTTTAAGTTTTGTTGTATGTCCTTGCTGTGAGGGTGTATGAGAGAGATGCTGTGCTGTTGAGGGCACACTGTGCTGGTTCTCTGTACCAGGCCTGAGCCAGAGCTATGAGGCTTCACGCTGAATAACAGCTCTGACCATCCTGTAGTTAACCAGGATGAAGTCAGGCAATAGCTGTGCAGAGCTTCACACTGGTGCTGAGCCTTCCCATTTCCCACCAGGAGCAGAGGGTCTGTTTGTGATGTCCTCAAGTCCCCTGGGGGGGAACTTGTCACAGTCACGGCCTTTCTGCAGAAAATTTATAAAATCAAGCCTATCCAGTGATATAAAATGTGATTAATACAGCCTCGTTGCCAGCAGTGTGCAAAGTAATTTCATCATAAATAAGTAATGCTGTATTACATCAATTGAATGTACAAGCAAAGAACATCCTGTGGATTAGCTCTGTGGATGCAGCTAATCTGGGTGGGTGCTCAGCATCCTCCTGAAATGTTTAGCCTCTGCTGAACTGATTGCTTATCTTTGGCTGCAGTTCTGATTGCTTAATACCCCTTAAAGGTGGAAACTGCTGCTCTGGCTGGAGCTGAAAGCAATGTAGGACTGTTGTGAACCCCTGCCCTAGGCTGCGGTGTCCGGCAGAAAGCCAGTGAGTGATTGAACATGCCTATTTTAGAGCTGGGATTAGAGCTTGTCTCCGAGATGCATAAGACTGGTGCTGGAGCTTCTGTCCCTGGAGGAAGCTATAATTGTCAGGCTTTTGCTATGTTTAAATCAGCAAAAGAAAAAAAACGTTTTAGCCTAGGTGGGGGTGAGGTTGAGTCAGTAGGGAAGAAATGGGAGAGCAGGCTGGTTCTGTGCTTCAGGGACTAGGCCTGAGGTCCTGGCTGTGTGCAGGCCTGTGTCATCTCCCCACGGTTTGTCCTGGGTCACCTCCATTGTCTGCAGTGACTGCCAGGGGCTCTTGAAAACCATTTAAAGGCATTACATTGGTTTTCCTTATTGTCAAACATAAGTGATTTGTCAATATATACACACAAATACATTCTTACTTTGTCTTTAAGAAGACAGTGTAAACATCACTAATGTATTGCATGTTTGAAGGACAGGAGGAGCATGGTGTGATAATGCAAATGACTGACAGATATTTAAACTTGCCATGTATTAAACAATGCATGTTTAACATCAAGCCAATTATAAAAGTGACATCTCTCCTGCTATTGAGGATGATGATGCTTGAATACCACTGGTGGCTTAAAAGCCATTCTCTCTGAGAAGTTGCACAGCAGGTAAGGTAAGATTTGTGGAAGGAATTTATTAGAATCCTTTTCTGTATCAAGAAATTCCACTCTGCACAAGATTTAGATGAGCAAAATAGCTTCCAGTTTGCATCCTTTTAAGTACCTCCCTCCCCTCCCCTTTTTTTTTTTTTTTGCCTCTTGAATTACTAGAGGGATAATCAAGCAAGCTGTTCCTGATGAGTCACTTTCTCTATCTCTTCTGATTTATGTATTGAGGCCAGAGCTGCTGTTACGTGTATACTTCAGATTTGCTTCACCCCTGTAGCATTTCTTTAATTCATTATGGTTTTATTTATACTCTTAAGAATTCACATATATTCTGGCACAAATGGAGGTGCTAATATTTCCCAAAATGACATAAAATAATAATGTCATCACATACGTTCTGAACTACAGTTAGTTTTTATGGTTAGTATTTATAATTATGCTGAATTAGGTTATATAGACAACATGATTTCTGGCTTTTCTTAATTTTTTGTTATTTTTATAATACTCTGCTAATGTAGTCTAAGCAGAGGAATGATGGTTGGAATTAAGCGCAGAGGAGCATGTTTTGGTGAAAAGCACAGATTAAATTAATCCTTGACTATAATTATTTTAACAAAGTGCTTGTAAAGCTAGTTTTAAAAAGATGTTTAGCTGTCCCTCTAAACAGGACTCTACCTTTTTTTTTTGTTTTTGCATGCTCAGAAGCCTAACGTTTTTGGCATAAACTGAGTGGTTTTCTGTTTAACTGTCTTTGTTGCTCACGTAAATTTGAGATTTGTTGGGACATGCAACAACTTCACTCAGAGTGACAGGCACACATCCAAGATTGGGCTTCATGGTGTAGCCGAGGCAGGGTTACCTAAATCTGGTCCTGTTTGTTGACTCTTACCTGGCCTCAGTCTCTTCCAGACTTTCTCCCCCAGAACAAGTAAGTGAACGTTATGGAAATGTAGTTTTGTTTCACAGCACAGGCTAATTAGTTTTGTGAGAACCCTTATTTGTGCTGTCTCATGGAATTAAAGTTGTCCCAGGCATGGTTGATGGCTTGGTGCGATGCCAGCTCTCTGGTGGAGTCAGAGTGAATAATAGTCATAGCAGCTCTGGAGGGTCTGCTGGTTGTGTGTGACTGGGATGATTTTTCAAAAATGATCCAGCAGTCTCCTTTCTGCTTCCTCGCTTTGTCTTGCCTTGTTTTTCTCCCTGCCCCTCTATGGTGACTCCAGTTGTGCTAAAGCAATTACAGTAGTGCTGCAGAATGGCCAGAAGCTGATGAGATCCATGCTGGGGGATGAGGGTCTTCATAGTGACATGCACAGCTGTGCTATTAAAGAGCAGGTTCTTGCCATTTACTCGAGTAAATAGTATGAATAATAGCTGGCGCACACAGCTAATAGTTGTAATTATTTCCTATGGTTCGCATCCAGACCAGATTCCTTCTTCAAAGCTGTGTTTGTCCAAGGGACTTTGTCCTCAAAAGTTGGTGGTTTTGATATTTCAGTACCCTCTGCTTGCTGGCTTTGTGTTCTGCTTTCCTTTTGGTGCTCCTTTCTAAATCCAGTTTCAAACTGCTTCAAACTCTGCAGAAACTGGCCCAAAAACTTTAGTTGGTTCATCCAGTTTGAGTGCTGTTTGAACTAGATTGTGCAACATCTCCATTGAAAACATCAGTGAGATGCTGCTGTCACAATAATACAGTACAGGATGTCTTTTAGAGAAACTTGGTGAGAATAAAAGAAGTCCAAAACAATGCAGGTGCATTTCTGTTCTTTATTGTTCGTGTAGTTGCACTGAAACCTGCACGGGCCTCACTGTTGAATATAATGAAGCCAATCTGAGCAGAAGACATTGTCCTGCAGGGGACAGTTTTAAAGGGAATTAAAATGCCTTTTATCCTCTCAGAGAGTACATTTGAGTTTTAGGTGGCATTTTTTCTGCTGTTATGCCAAATACGTTCTTTTTACCTGGTATTACTAGTAATGTGAATAAGGAGTGTATGGAAATGTAACGATTAGAGCATTTTCATGGTGTTAAAGTAGTTGCTCATTGATGGTAATTCTAAATTCAGCTTCTGGTCACGGTATACTGGAATTTGAGAAAGTATATGTGTGAAAAAATATGCAGGAGGTCTCTTTTTTTCCCTCTTATATTGAATTAGTTGATCCATATAGGCATAAAGAGAAGTGCGATTTGAAATATGGGCAAAGATAAAACTTAAGTCAAGTTACGAATTAAAAAAACTAATTTCCTGCCATAGGGGAAATGGAAGCATTGAATTATGAAACACCATTCAATATTTTACATACATGCATTTGCGACTTTAGATATTACAACTTCCTGAAGGGAGGCTGTGATGAAAATGGGTCTGGCCTCTTCTCCCAGGCAAATAGTAGGACCTGAGGAAATCATAGAATCATAGAATCACCAAGGTTGGAAAAGACCTAAAAGATCACCCAGTCCAACCGTTCACCTATTCCCAATAGCTCCTACTAAACCATGTCCCTCAACACAACATCCAGTCTTTCCTTGAACACCCCTAGGGTCGGTGACTCCACCACCTCCCTGGGCAGTCCGTTCCAGAGATGGAATGGCCAGAAGTTGTACCAGAGGAGGTTTAGGTTGAACATCAGCAGAAACTTTTTCTCTCAGAGGGTGGTCAGGCGCTGGAATGGCTGCCCAGGGAGGTGGTGGAGTCGCCGTCCCTGGCAGTGTTCAAGAGGCGTCTGGATGAGGAGCTATGAGATGTGGTTTAGTGCTTGTGGTACTAATAGGAATGGGAGGGTGGTTGGACTAGATGATCTTGCAGGTCGTTTCCAACCTTGCGATTTTGTGATTCTATGATTCCAACTTTTCTGTCAAGCTTCATTAGTCTATAGAATCACCAGGGTTGGAAAAGACCCACGAGATCATCCAGTCCAACTGCCCTCCTATCACCAGTAGTTCTCACTAAACCATGTCCCTCAGCGCAACGTCTAAACATATTCTGGACACCTCCAGGGTCAGTGACTCCACTGCTTCCCTGTGCAGCCCAGCACCTGACCCCTCTTTTGGAAAAGTGGTATTTCCTTTTTTTTTTTTTTTTTTGGAAAAGTGGTATCCAGACTGAATTTCCCCTGGCAGAAGCTCAAGTCCTCATGAACATTTTTTCATACAGTTCACAGTGTGTAAGCCTACTTCTACATTTGTCAGTTTGGAAATATGTAATGGAACATGGCTATACATTCCAATGTTTCTTAGACCCTTGGCTTCTTGCATTTGTCACATCTACTTAAAGATGTCTCCAGCTCTTCTTCCAGTATTCCTTGAGCCAGTGACAGAAGCTGTATGGTCTCTCCTTTCTTCAGAATGCCTTATGTCAGAAGGTGCTACATATCAGAAAAGTTAATGTTGCAACAGCAACAAATGACCTTTGCCTACAGTATTAGTAAAGAATGAAAAATATTATGTAGCTGGTAAGACAAATTTTGATGAAAAGATCTTTTGAAATAATACTGAAATAATGAAGTTGAAATCCAGCCTGAAATACAGTGGAAGCCTTCAGAAAGGCATCTTGTGTAAGATCAGCATCTTCATTAAGGGAAAGAAAATTCAGATGAGAGCTAATCTGATAGGTACCACCTCTGCAGCTTTGTGTTTTTTTTTTTTCTTGTAAAGGTTATGTCATGGTTAATCTATGAAGAGAGCGGGGATCTTTTTGAAGAATCACTGCTACAATATTTATGTTGATGCAAAGTACTGCTGGAACTTAGCCAAGCAGTAATAGAGTGCAAGGAGAACAGGCTGGTGGGAAAGGCTGCTTTCTCCATTTTCCTCTGTTTTCCCTAGCTCTGTGCTCTCTGGGCATTGCACTGTTACAACCTGGTGTTTGCATCCTTGTAGGACTCTAGCTTATTGCCAATGGGTGGAAAACCTTCACGAGACGCAAAAGATGATTTCAGTTTACGGCCCCCTCAGTGATCTGCTGAAGTGGATTCTGTGCCATCTGACCAAAGGGATCGTGAAGCGGGAGATGTACGGTCACGGAATTGGCCGCTTCTCTGAGGAGGAGATGTACACACTGATGGAGAAGGACATGAGGACTCTAGCAAGTCTCCTGGGTAATGTACCACAAACCACACACCTTCTCCTTGTGCCTTGGTGTGATATGGCTGTATGTCAGCCTGGTCACAGCCACAAATAATCTCACTGCTGTCAGGTGGCGTTCACGCTGCTGCTGTTCCCCGGTGCCACCTTCGCTCTTGGGGGGATGGGTTTCTTTCCTCGCTTTTTGTTACCAGACTGCCTCGCTAGGAGGGTAAATGGGTTGCTTCTCTGGGCACTGAGTATTTGTATCTGGAGGAGCAGAATGTGGCCTTTTGAAAGTCCTTAGCAAATGCTACTTTCAGCTGGATGTTGCTGCGTTTGGTTGGTGTTAGAAGCTTCATTTAAAGCTGGTAGGAGATGGGTCTGTGTTATCAAAATGGATGGTTTTAGGCTTGCTGGCTGTTGTGGGTGGACAGTGCAGAGATTGTCTTAAGGTTGACCTCCCTCAGCCAGAACTGTGCAAGCCTCATTTCTGTAGTGTAGCTCAGGCTGAAGTCTGAGCTAAAACTGTCTGCACTGTGCTTTTCACTTCCAGTCTGCTGAGAGCTAACTGTACTATGCTTTTGTGTAAAAATATGTATTTTGAGGAATTCATCTGCATATTATCCCTTACTTTGAGCTTGTCCCTTCCTTGGTCCAGAATCCAAGAGGTGGTGCTGATGTGGTTTGTTGTTCCCTGTTACGATCCTTTCAGTGGTGGTTGGGCAAGAGGGGTCCTCCCTGCCCTGTCCTGGCTTCTGCACTCATCCTGTGCTCAAGAAAGAGGACAGAACATGTACTTGAACTGTGGGATGGACAGGAGGAGAAAAGGTAGCCAAGTAGAGGGCAAAAACTGAGTGCTTACTAAGCAATAGAGGGATGTGAGATGGTTTTTGTTCTTTCAGGGTGTTTGGGAAAGAAAAAAAATTGCAAAGGACCTAGAGGGAGCTGTGCAAGTTTTCTGAAATGCAGGGAGCTGCTGGGTTGGCAGCAAAGTGAAAAAAGAGTTACGGTCATGGACAGTAGGTGAGGGGGAGATTTGTTGGCACTTCTTTCTCTGTTGGCTCTTTCTCATGATTTTGTTATTTAAGATTGTTTAAGGTTGTTTAAGAAAAATCGTAGATTTTCTTTTGAAGAAGCACTATTTTTGGAGGCCAAGAGGTCAGAAGATTTCAGAAGGTGAAGATACAGCAACTTTCATTAGTTACTGGGTGGCAGGTGTTCATCACCATCAAAATCTGTTCACAGTTTGTCCAGTTTCATATTGGAGGACGCATGCTCTCAACCTTCAGGCAGGTGTTCCTTCTAGTCCTTCCTGCCCACCCTGAGCTGCCTATGCCATCTCCTGTGAAGATAAATGCTGTGCTCAAACCATTTATTTCACTTGTTTTTGCTTGGAGAAATGGCTGGAAATCCTCAGACCTCTCTTTAAGATCCATTTTTCATTGGTTGGAAATAATTCTTCTGTTCTCTGGACAGACCTCCTCCCTGCTCCTGCACCTCCATATGCGTTTTCACAGTATGTGTTGCTTGTGGTGGCAAAAAATGTGAAGGGCAGTCACAGAGCTGGCAAACTGGGACACATCTGCTGTTTTTACTGTGTGGTGCACATTACCAGCAGGGGTTTTGTTGATTATTGATGAGAAGGTTGTGCCTCATGTGTTTTAAAAAGCCTTGATGGGCACTTGCTGTGTTATGGTTACTTTACTACGTTACTAGCTGAATATTGTACATTTCATTTTTATCTTCCTTTCTGAAATGAATGTTGTATTAGTCACTGTGTTACTACGTTTGCCACTGTGATTATTGGTGTGTTTCCCTGCTCTTTGGTAATTGCCCTGACTTGCCATTAACACCAGCTTGTCAAGGCTTTCTCCAGCTGTTCGTGGTCTACGTACCCTTGGCCTTGGGTCATATTCTGAGCTGGGGACAGGAGGTGAGTGACAGACACTGTATGGGGCAACCTGGTCTAGAGGGAGGCATCCCTGCTTATAGCAGAGGGTTGGAACTAGAAAGGTCCCTTCTACATCAAACCATTCTGTGATTCTATGACTTCCAGCCTGACTGGAGGCTCTCCTCATTCGCAGAGTTGATTTGCAACCTGCTGTTGCTCTAGTGCAGTTGCTTCCCAGAGTAACACTGTTATGGATTGAGAGTCAGACCCAGCTGAGCAGTGCTAAATTTATAGTGTTGTCAGGTGAAGTGGGATTTTACACAGCGTATTACTGTGGTTTGGGGACCTGTTTTTGAGCTGTGTTTGAGATCAATGACTGCAGAACAACACATAAATACAGAAAGTACCCAACATTTACCCAGTACATAGTCATCAGAGAATAGATTGGTGCAGTTCTGAAAGAGCTGGGGAGAGTTAACTCCATTTCTGTATCACATTTGACGTGCTGTGGGAAGTTATTATTCGTTACTTCTCTGTATTGCATTGCTACATCGTGGTGCAGATGGATAACAGCCTTCATTGTGTTGTATTTTAGAATTTGCTGCATTTTACTGCTGGACAGTTTTTCTAAACTCATTTAATAACCCTAACATTTAATAACCTGCTGAATTACAGGCAGCTTCTGGCATAACGGGAAAAATGTCCTGGGGAGATGGGGTAACTGGATTTGGAGAATTCAATTACATACAACACTTCACAGGGTTTATAGCACTTTGGGCAGAGGCAGGGACAACGCAGCCATTTAAGCTGACCTCTGAAATGCCACATGATTCACTTGCTCTGTTTTCTTTCTTTGCTCCAAGTCTAATGCCTGTGCTGGGGAAGCAGGTAATACTGGATGTTTTCTTGTGAATGATGTCTTTAAAGATGATATTCTTCTCTGTCTTTATCTTGTAGAGGGGAGGAGGACATGTCCCCATTAAAATACCTTGCTGTTTTGTTTACAGGTGACAAAAAGTACATTATGGGACCACACGTTTCCACTGTTGATGCCACAGTTTTTGGTCATCTGGCACAGGCCATGTGGACACTACCAGGGACAAGACCAGAGAGACTAATCAAAGGTAATCAAAGGTTTAAAGTGATCTATGACAAAAAAACCAAAACAAAACAAAACCAAACTTTTGGTGGCATTTGCTGTGTTTAAGTTTGGAACATTTTGTGGGATTTTCATAGGATTGCAGGAGTACTTCAGCTATCTCATTAGCTGTTCTCATGTTTGATATAGCATTTCTATTCTGTGATTATTTTTTTTTTGTGTGTGAAGTTCTTGTTTGTTTTCACTTCAATGTTTTGAATGGTAGTTGTTTCCATTCCTGTGTTTGATCTTTTCCCTGTTTGACATAGCAAAGGCTGAGTGCTTATAAGGGATGAATGCTGAGTAAAGTATTAGAAGCTGTGAGCCAAATTCTGCTGAGCTAAATAGTTTCATTGACAGTAGAACTGCAAATACTGTTGTCCCACTGAAATGTAAGCTTTTGGTGTTATTAAGGACACTGGACAAGGAGAAGAATCCAGTCTGGCTTTGGAGTGAAATGAATTAGAAACCAATGTACCATATCTCCTTCCTCCCATCTCCAAATTTTGTTATTCTTTGTGGAGAGGTATTGGCACATGAAAGTCTGGTGGAAGATCTTGGCATCACTTTGTAGAATAAACATAGTGTGAAAAATGGAAAGAATGAGGAGGAAAAGGGTGTGAAATAGCTGTAAAAAGCAATGAATCTGATCCATAGACCTACTCTGCATAAGAGGTAGCTGCAGAGGCAACAGTTTGGATTTTCTCATTATTAGAGCTTTGATTTGAGGAAAAAATCCCTGTCATCAAGGGTTTGTGACTCGAGGGTCATGAATAGTCTGTACAGTAAAACCCTTGATGTCTGAAGAGTCACAGATAAAATTCTGAAGGGTCGATTGGTTTCAAGAAAATGTATGATGATTGTTGGAATACTTTGTGTCTGACAAAAATGAACAGAAGATGATAGATGCAAGTACAGGAGCAGTATGGATGATGCTCCGTACCTATCCAGCTGCTCATGCTGTGGTATGCTGTGAGTGCAGGTTTCATGTACACGTTCATTTTCCACTTAATATGCTGTTATTTCTTTGTTGTTTGAAGTTTCTTCTCTCTAAGCACACGTGTATGTATCTACACATGGCCTAACACACCCGTGCGGGCTACAAATGCTAGAGGTAAATCAGAAAGAAAAACAAACCCATAAATTTATCTTGCAGGCAATGCTGCCATCTGGTGGTGTGGATACAAAACATCCAAATTCGCAGTATTGTAACAAGTGAGTGAGCTGTGCACATAGAGTTGAGTTCAGTCCTGTCTTTATAAACTACAGCAAATAAGCAAGAGTTTTGCTAGAACAACTTGCAGTATTAATATCTTGTCTTGCTTTATTTCTGTTGAGGTTGAATTTGGGATGGTTATTTCACTATATGCATATATGTTCCTTTCAGTGTAGCCTTTCTCATTGTACGTAGGTTAATGGTATCTGTATTAAGTTATGTGAGAATTATAAACAGCCACCGGGAGGGTTGACTGGATCTTGCCGTTTTGAGACAAGGCTCTGATGCCTCTTTGGAAGGAACCTGCATAAATTGTTTCCAAACAATGCCAAATCAGCTGATAGGTTAAAGTTTTATTGACTGAATGTACTTACTGGAATGTGTTGTGCTGTGTTTCAGGTGAACTCATTAATCTTGCTATGTATTGTGAAAGAATAAGGAGGAAATTCTGGCCAGAATGGCACCACGATGACGATAACACTCTGTATGAATCTGAGGAAAGCAGTGACACAAGCAAGACTCACTCCCCCTTGCAGGACTTCAGTTTTTATTCAAGGACAGAAACATTTGATGAGGAAGGGAACAGTATTTCTCATACTCCTGACACAGATTACACTGGACACTCCCTTTTTGATTCAGATGTGGACATGGATGACTACAGGGATCATGAACAATGCAAATGATGCGTACAAGCATCTCTTGTTTTGCAGACAAGCTGTTTCTTGGGATCAGTTGGATTTATTTTCTGCTCCAGGTTGGGAGAAGGTTGGTACCACCTCCAGGAGACCATTGTGCTTGACTTGGCTGTCACTTGCTACCTGGACTATCTCAACCTTATTTCATTCTGTGTAATTGTTCAGGTGGAACCAAGGTAAACAGTTACTTAAAACACACCGTGGGCAGACTAGAGGTCCAGATGACAACAGAAACTTTCAATCTACATTCTTGCTTCCATTGAAAAACAGTTGAGTGGGAGAAACCTCCAGGAGGGGGAGTATTTGGAAGCTGGTTTCTGTTGATATCTTTACAGGAATGGGCCAAGGACAAAAGTGGAAGAGGCGTTACTGTCACACCTTTCTCATGTGGAAGAAAATTATTGATGCTGATTTGGTGCAGTTTCAGGAAAGTTTTCATAGCTTTCTGCAGTCTGGGTGATCACAGAATGTCTGCAGGAATGAACTGCCCCTGGTTCTTTCAGAGACAGACAAGGAAGGTGGTAGGAAAATGTGTTCCTACAAAAAGAAACATTTTAGCATTTCTTGTTCTTTGCAGAAGGTTGAAATCACCTTCTAGAATGTTTTTATTCAAATGAAGAATGTCAGTTTTAATGTATAATCACCCACACGCTAATCTGGAAAGTGTGTTGGCCGAAGCCTGGCTTCAGGCCTTTAAATTTCTTCTGTGTTTTTGAATTATTAGATGTTTGTACTTCCTGCCACCAGCTGCTACTGATGTAGAGAAATGGGATTCATTACTGAAAGCCTGGAGCATCTCAGCAGTGGGTGCTTTGTGTTCTTTATGCAAAGACACATCAGACCTTTAAAGTTTGCAAAGAAACTTGAAGTGTTTTTAGGTGTGAGGTGCTCTGTAAATATAAGATGTTATCCTGCAATCATATGCTTTAGAGCTGGCTGGGATGGTGGGCATTTGCTGGCTTATAATGCACAGTTCCTAAAGGCAGTGTGTGGAAGCAAGTTGTGAGACTACAGTGGCATCACCACGTATTCTGTGAGGATTTGCAAGAGTTGAAATAGTGACTGGGGTTGATCATAAGGCCTCTTTGATGGCATACTTGTGAATCTGGAGAACCAAAGCAAGAATAGCTGCACAGGTGCTGATGTGCTCTGCTGTCGGTGTGAAGATAAGAATGGATCCACAGGGTTGGCCCACCTGTTTGAAGTTAAGCATCTACACCTGTGTTGCTTGGTAGTGAGTGGTTGATTTTAGTGAGAGAAAGCATATGGAAATTACAGATGATCCTGGTCTTTGTAGAAGTGTATAAAATCAAGTTTTGTCTGTATAAGTTGGTGGTAGCCTGTTGAAATTAGTTTAATCAGGACTTTTTCACTGAGTTACATTTCCATGAATCACAACCTCTCAGCAGAAATTTTGTCATATGTTGATTCTGAGAATCAGGCAGGACACAACTACTTTATGATGTTAGTTGCTGATGGTCCTAGTAGTCTGGAGCTTGAACTAACTCCAGCTTTCAAAGAACGTGTCCCTTTTCTGCTATAGAGTGTCTTTGACAGGAAGAAGCTTGTTGTAGGAAACACCCAGCTAGCCGTGGCTCTGCAAGCAGAGGGGACAAAGCTGCAGTGAATTCCTATGTCTCTTCCATGTCTGAGAGCTACTGCGATGAGAGCAGGCAGTTTGGTCTGAGGTGAGCACAAACTTGCATCTGTTTCCTAAATTCCCAACACGTTTGCTTGAAGCTGTGCTCCAGCCTCTATAATCATGGGCAAATCTCTATTGTCGTGTTTGCAAAAAGAAAATGAACCAAAACTGAGGAGGGGGAAGGTATGATCCAGTTACCTGGGACCCTTCTTAGGAAACTAAGCACAGGAACAGGTCACAAGGACATGAGTCTTGAAAGCACAAGGGGTGATGGTCTGACATGCCCGCGAAACTTTGCAGGTAAGTCAGGGCAGATGCAAACATTTAGGTACTGATATTCTGGATAAAAAGCATCTGCATCAAGAAGCTCCTCTTAAAAATACTCATGATTTGGGAATTCTGGTAGAGACGTTCTCGTTTGTTTATCCATCTTTTCAGCATTAGGAGAGTGTGTTTTCAGGTATGGAGCCCCTGCTGGCACCACATGAATCTCAGCAGTGAGTCATGGTTATTGAAAGATCAGCCTGAGTTCATTGGACAAAGTCGTATTAATAATTTTCCTGGGCTGACGGTCTGTCGGTGACAGCGATGCTTGGGGCATCCCAAAAGGCAAACTGGTCAGAAGCCAGTGATGTAATTTTGCCCTCTCATATGTAAGCAGCTGCGTTTGGATATCACATGGCAATATGTGGCAGTGGGCACAGAAATTGGCATCACTGCCATGGTACAAAGCTGGTGTCATGTTGTGGCCTTCTAACATCTGAAAGTTTTCTTGGTGAGCGCCCGGTGCTTTATTGTACATTGTAGGGCATGTGTATGCATTTATATATATACACACATATATATGCTATTAAAAATACGTGTGTGCATATATAAAAATAGGTGAGTCAATATATGTATGTTTTGGTGCCAAAAGAAGCAGTATGGTAGAAATAATCTGAGGATTCGTCCTCAGCAGAGCCTTGACTTCGCTTTGGTAAGCGTGGTGATGGGCTTTGTTGCAGAAAAGTGAAACACAGTGGATCTGAAGGGGCTGTGGAGGGGGGAAGGAACTTTTTGTTGTCAGCTGATATTTTTTTCAGTGAGGTAATCATTTGGGTGAATGTATTTTGTAGTGTGTCACATGCCTTCCATGTCTTAGGAACTACTCAGGTTATTTTAGAGAAGTTACTCAATAAGTAGCTTTCTCCTTATGACAGCTATTCTAGGTACTGTGTTTCCGTGTTTGGCTGTGTTTCAAACTAGAGGTGAAATTAGAAAACAGCATTTATTTAGGAATTAGTGTGTATAGTATTTTGTCAAGGTCTGGTAGTATATCCTTGAGTTAATTTATCCTTTCCAGAAACAAATATTGACCGTTAGACCTGTGTTAAGGATTTAATCCAAGCCTTTCTCTTTTGGAAGCTGGCCTTGACAAAATATTTATGGGGGAAAAATGTTTAGAAAAAGAAATTGCTTTGTTAACATCCATGAGAAAGTGTTGTCTTGGTTTGCGGGGTAATAGTGGACAAGAGTTGTCTTTAACAAAAATGAAAGTTTTCAACATTTTGCTAAAAGGGCCATGTTTCCTTAGTCCTGCAAAGGTTTTCTCCCCTTGCTCATTTCTTTTTTTTTTCATCTCCACGATTGAAGGGCTGTGCAAACCCTACAAACTGTCTGCAAGCATCTTAGAATCACATGGTTGGAAGGGACTCACGGTGATATCACCAAGTCCAACTCCTGGCTCCACGCAGCACCACCCAGAATTCAAACCCTGTGGTTGAGAGCATTTTCCAAATGCTTCCTGAACTCCGGCAGCCTGGGGCTGTACCCACTGCCCTGGGCAGCCTATTCCATGCCCACTGATCTGTGGTGAGGAACTTTCCCTAATGCCTATCCCAACCCTCCCCCCATGCAGCTCCATGGCTCTTTATTTCCCTTGGGCTCTTCATTTTATTTCCTCTGCTTTTTTTCTCCCCTGATCAAAACCGCAGCGGAAGTCTGCTTCAAGCACCCCGCAGGCCCTCACAGTGGTGCTGCAGGGGCCAGGAAATCGTGTGGCACCGCAGTGCCTGGAACCACCCAGGAGCACCGACTGCCTGCTGTGTGAGGTATGAGGGCCTTTTGAAGCCGAAGGGTGGAAGTGACCACGATGTTGTGCCTGAGATGATGCAGACCCTGCAAGTTTCTTAGCGACTGGGGTCGTCTTGTAGGGCAGCGTTAGAAAGGGTGTCATGAGAGCCAAGTGCATGGGAGGTGCTGGAGAGCAGAGCTGGTGGTGGTCCCAGCCATGACTGCGGGCTGACCTGGGGAAGCAGCAGGGTGGCATGGGAGCAGGCAGTGTGTGTGAGGGCCATCGTTCATCAGTAGGGAGAGGCTCTTTGTCTTCACTATGGGACAGTGTGGTTGCACCGTTGTCTTATTTTGAACACTGCCAAATACTGAGTATTCTATTTATTAGTGCTGCTGTGAGGGAATGATAATTGGTCTTCTCTCCCTCATTTAGCGAATGGGAATTAAAAAAATACTCTGTGTTCCCACTGTAGTTAAATTTAAAGCAGCCTGGTTTGTGGGTTTTTAATTAAAAAAATTCTTCTTGAACTGTGAATTGCAGTGCTAGATTGCATAACACTGTCACGTCAGGATGGATTTGTGTGTCAGTGTCAGCATTGCTGGCTCTGTCAGCAGAGCTCACTGTTACCAAGTGGGAAAATAGATGCTGGGCTCTATAGGTCATACAGAAATTGTACAAATGTGGTGCTTGATTTAAGAACCAAACCAAACCTGATGTTTCAGATCTGGAGGACTGTTCCCATCCAATTACAACACTGCAAGTCACACGTTTTGATCTTTAAAGCCTTGGCAACGTCCCTCCAGATCTGTATTCTCTTTGAAAAAATATTGCCTGAAATATTTCTGCAGCAATAGTTCAGGCACAAATTTCCTTTTGTCAGTGATGTCTGCTCAAGTAATCATGACAGCTTCATACTGTTTTCATTGAAAGGGTTGTATCTGTCAGATACTGAGCTGTACAAAATACTGCCTTCTGGAAAACTGTGTTATGTGCAGATTTATGCAGGGCAGCTTACCAAGCAAAATTTCTATGGCAGGGGATGAATTCAAGTGGGTCTTGTCCTTAGATGTTTGAAGAATTTGAATCCGTTTCCTGGCAAACTCCTTTAGTCTAACCCCTCCATCACCAAATACTGCAAAATTATAAATCAGGCCTATAATCAATCAAAATAAAGCAAATTATGGTCTTTAAATGCAGAGTTATGTTGAACAGCCCTGTAGCTGGTATATGGAAATGAATATATGTAGTGTAGGGGTGAGTCATGCCCATATCTGTCAGTGGCTGTGATCTGGAGGAACATCCAAGCTGCACTGTCTGATCTGTGGACAAGGAGGATTAGAGGGACCTTTGAATGGCCACAGTGATTCTCAGCAGCATATCAGTGCTGCTGTATCTGTGTGCGCTGCGCCGTGCTTCAGCTGCTTGTTACCACTGAGGACGTAGTGGAGGGGCTTTCTTAATGCTGTGCTCAGGTGGGGCTGCTGCTGTGCTGTTGTCCCGTACTCAGGCTGTGTTCTGTGTCCTTGTGGTAAAGGCAAGAATCCCTTTTGATCTGGCTCCTTTATATGGCACTGCAGTGGCTGTGGCTTCCTTCTGATGGTGCCCAGGAGGGTGTGTGGGCCATTGTGACCCACTGGTGTCCTGTCAAGGGGAGAGCTTCATCACCCCATACTGTGTGGGCCTCCTGACGGTGAAATGGGTGCGTGGAGTTTCAGGCTAGTGACCTCAATCTTTACAGCTTCACCTTAAGTGAGAAAAGCATTGCAGCACGGATCGGCTCTGTCTCAGCAATTTTGGGCAGTGCTCTCTGATGGCCATTGTGAAGAGCTTTTCTTGCACGCCTTCCCCACGCGCTAACATGAAGAACTTCTCAGCAGAGATTTTCACAGGTCCCTGAGGTGTTTGGAAAGAAATGGGATGTCTGTGTGCAGTATGGGAATCCTAATCACTGAAAACGTTCAGTGAGTCACTGTGGTGCTGAGCTGTGAGTACTGTATCCTTGTTTGCCCAGCTGGCAGATTTTGAGGCCAGAGATAGTTATGGACGTTGAGTGTGACTCATACGTAAAAAGGACCCTAGAATTTCATCTTAAAGATTTCCACATCCAGCTCAACAAACTTAAGCAGAAATAGAGCATCTGCTTCCAAAAGGCATTCAGCTTCTGCAGAACAGCAAGATCCTGCCCCTTTGAAGTTACTGGCAGAAGTGCCATTGGCTTCAGAAAGGCCAGAGGTTTCCAACTGGGCTTCCAAGTGACCCAGAATTTATCACTTCTTTCAGTCCTTTGCTGAGTCTTGGAAGCCCTCATGTAGAAATTTACCTTACCAGGGCTGTTCACTAGAGGAAGGCAAACAAGATGTGACACTGGTTGGTTGTTTTTTAAACTCTTAAAAAAAAAAAAAAAAAAAATCTTTTTAAGCTTCATCTGTTGTGATGATATTGTCACTGGGCACAGTGTATACTCTTTCCTTGCTTTTTAATTTGTTCTTAAGAGTGGTCTTCTCTTGATTGTACAGGTTTTTATTTTTCAGAATACTTGAAGAATGCGGGCCCCAAAGTTTTAATGTTCAAGGTGCAAAATCAGCCAAGAACAAAGCATATATGGGTGTGTATGGGGGAGGGATGTATTCAGCTCTGTACAGTGTACAAGGTTTTCCTAACAAAGTGGAGTAACACATTGCTAAATGAAGACTTTAGTGCTGTAGCTGCATTGTGTTGTTTGTTGATGAATTCACAAGACATGCATTATTTTAGCACTGTTATTATTACTAGTTTACAAAGCCATATTTAAAATTGTACACTTAATTGTAACATAACTTTAAATTGTGTACTGTGTTGATTCCTGTATGTATATATGAAAATCTGTATATTTTGTCTTTATGCCATATGTCATTGGTGTATAAATTACAAGTAATGGATCTAAAATACCTTTCTGGTTCATGTCCTTTTTATGAATGTCTCTGCTTTCTGCAGGCCTGTGCACTGACCATGACAAAGTGTGAAAGTGTGTGAAGCTGTAATACCAGTGAGTTAAACCCACATCTCCTCAGGCAAATACCTTAGCCACCATCATGATGTGGGTCAGTTACTGTCGCTGTTCGTCTCTCCACTTGGCAATGGAGGAATATTTCCAGGTCAAGCTCAGGAGAAAGGACTGCACTTAGCCTTGGGTGTGAGGAGGAATCTCTGCTTCTTTCTCTTTACTCTGGGCTAATGCTACCAGTGTGAATATAAGTAATTCCAAGAATGTCAGAGGAGTGTATGTATTTTAAGATCATTGCCCAAAGCACTGTGCTGGCTAGTGTCATTATACAATAGTATTTTGGAAAAAAATTAGCATTTTAAAGTCCTTAGCCAAACTGAGCTTGTGGCCCTGAGCACAGTGTGGGGATGGAGTGGCGGTGATGAAGGTGCCAGACTGTGTTTACAGGTGCACTTACACCATCAAATTCACGTCAAGTCCTGCCTCATGACTGCCTCGTGACTGATGACATCAATGCTACAGGTATATAAATGTATGTTCAGGTTGGATTTTATGGGCCTTTTACCCAACTTTCAGTTTTGTGACTGGGGGAGAGGACAGGTAAGTGAACTTCACTGACCTGAACATTTTAAAAATAACAAGTCAGGCCAAACCCTACTGTTCTGAGTATTTTAGCTCCTTCTGTTGCATTAGTTTTATGGTTTCTGAAGTGGGTCTTCAGAGACTTCTCCACAAAGACTAGAAATGGCAGTGCATTTGAGAAACAATAAGGTAAAAAAAAAAAACAAAAAAAAAGGTATTTACTTAGGTAGAAATAGAGGATTTGAATCATCAATATTGCAAGCTCAGAAGAGCTGGTAATACAGACTGCCCTTCCCAGATGAGCTCGCGGTTCTGTGTTGTTGAAAAACTCTGTCTCTGTTTGTGTTGGAATCCCAAAGCTTTAAATTATGGTGTACAAGAAATATTTTGGATGTTCATTCCCTGGCTATTGTTCTTTTGAGTAGTTGAATAGGAAAAAGTCTGTGGTAAAGCAGTTTTGTGAGTTCTTGTGCACTGACCATTTAACAGCCAATGACCCACTGCAATTGCCAGATGAAGATGTTCACTTAAAACTCAGTAAAAGAGATTTAGGCTCATGTGTTTTACCTCTGCTAGTTCTGGGCTATGACTGCATATGCAGCTGCTTTCTGCAACAGCACTCATTAAATTATAGTAAGTGGTGGTAAGCCTGACCTGCCTTCAGAGGGCACTTCTGAATGGGTGAACACCCTTGAGTTTGTGATGTGAGGAGGTCAAGGTCAATGAGCTTGGGGTGCCCCAGGGATGAAAATGCTCCTCTGCCTAGGGGAACTCCATACTGAAGTTGCTCAAGCAGTTGTTCTGTCACCAGCCAGATCCTGAGTGGGAATATTCCTCCTTTTTCAGTGAAGCTGTTAATTAAACCCAGCTGATCAGAAGTCTCTGTGCTGTCTTCATCCAGATGTCGCCATGAAGTTTGGTTCGCTTGCCCAAGGTGTTGGTATCCCATACATCCTGAGATGTCCAGATTGGGCACTGCCCAACTGGCATTGCCCAGAGCTGGGGTATTTGTGCAGGGCACAAGGGCAGGCTGCAACCAGGAATGGCAGCAGGAGGCTGGATAGTCTGTTTTAGGGCATCACAAACAGCTGAATGCCTGTGTTGAGGTGACTGGATCCCACCCTGAGTGATCACTTCTAAAGAAAATAGCGAGTGTTGGTAGTGTCATCAGTAAAATTCAATATTTATGTCATGATAAGACTCAGATTATCTGACTGACACATGTCCATGTAGAAGTTTACGAGCTCTGGGAGAGGCTTTGGTTGTGTACAGTGAGGTTTACAATCCAAGAAAAAAGTGATACACCGAGTGTGAAAAGAGAGCAGTCGAGTGACTGCTGTCTCAATATTTGGCCATCTATGTTTATATTAAGGCTAGGCAATTCTGGGTGCATGCATTGCTGCCACTCACAGAGATTGATCTAAGTGGTCATCACAGCCAAGGGTTCCTCAGCAGGGCAGGAGCGAGCACCTGCTCACAGGTGGGCTCGACCCTTCCTGCTGGGGACTGTGCAGCCAAACTCTCTGGATGACATTTAGCTCACAATTCGTACCCCACAGCCAGACATCAGAATTAACACCTCAAAACTCAACCTCAATCCCACCCTAAAATGTGTTATAGCCTGAGACCCCAGCCATCAGCAATATTTGGACGCTTTTTCTGAGTAATGATGTACCATTGTAGATGCAAGAAATTTGACAAAACTTTAGGCTGAAATGTTGAGCATCTGACAGGAAATACCAGGGTTAAACTGCCATATAGTTTTAATGTTGTCTCTTTTTGCAGTTTCAGGTTTTGATTCTTTCTGTCTCTCACTACTTTTTCCTTAAGACCTCTGCCTCATCTGGTGCACTGGGTAGAGCCTAGTGAAGTAATGATGAGATGTTGGTTATTTCATTTGAAGTGTGACTCCCAAATTTTATTTGCTGCACAGTATTCAAGCCTGACAATGGGAACAGAATGACTAATTTCCTCATCAACTTTTTTGTGGCTGTCATCACCATGATTTCTGCATGCTTCAAAAATATTAACAAGCTTATTTTCACAACATCGCTATCCAAATGCTGCAATGGACAAGACCAGAAAGAGTTGTTAAGAGCCTTGAAACTAACTGAAATAAACTGGAATACGATCCAGGAAGAGCCAGTGGATGGGCTCAAAGAGAGGGAAGCTGTAAGCAAGTAATTGACATCCAAGACACTCTTAGCAGACACACTTTATGTGGGTTAGAGGGCCTTGGAGAAATGCTGATTGCTATAGGCTGGAAGATGAGGGTCTGTACTACAGCTTTGTTTGTCAAAACATAAAGGAAATTATTTAAGGAAGAAATGCAACACAGAATAATAAGATTTGGAAAGAGGAGTTGTAGGCTGACACCCAGCAGATGCTCTTTTTGGTCTTCACAGAAACCCTGTTGCAGCTGAGTGTGCTGCCCTTGGAGACAATAGGGAAAGACGCTTAACCTTCCCTGTCCGGGCGTGGAGACTCGGAGACTGGGCTGCACTTTGCTGCCATTTTGATGGCAGCATTCATTTGGGATCCACCTGAAGCACAGTTATTATCTGATAAGAAGCTTAGTTTTGTTGAAGGATCTAGACCAACACGCCAGCTACATCTACACATTCAGAAATTGCCACAATTTCACGTAACGTGATTGACTGTGACAAAGAAACCTAAATTATTCAGTGGGCATTCTCCGCTGCATGCTAACATGGCTCTTGTCACCAAAACTTCTGACACCTCTGAAGTGTGAATACACTCTTGCAGGAGCAGCCAGCAGGGCAGGGAGACCGGGCTGCTCCCAAAGAGATCAGAAGTGCTTGGAGGAGGAGCAAGGTGCTTGGGTGCCTGGGGCTGAGAGCAGGAAAGGCTCTCTCACAGCAGCCTCTTGGCTCCCAAAACTATTTTTGGTTCTGTAGCTGTAGAACATCAGTGATTCACTGTCACACAACAATTCGGAATGGGAAAATGCAAAGGGTTTCTGATGAAGAAAGTGTCGCCACGGGTACAGTTGGCTCCCAGATGTGTGCATCTTTTGTTCCTGTAAAATCAGAGTGTGAAGTTTGTGCCTCCTATCTACAGAATTGCTGTGTGAGTTGTGAACAGCCACTGCTTTTCCTCTCAGAACTCTGGAAAAGTCTGCTGCATTATTTCAGCTATAAAATACCACTGTGCATTTTATAGGTAGGAGTGCATCTATTCTGTATTTGCAGGCTTAGTGAGATCTGAGCAGTGAATGTTCTCCAAGCTATCTTCTGAAAGTTAGTGCCATTCCTGTAAACAAATTCCTTGTTACTCCCATTACAATAATTCAGGAGATTATATTTAATGTATAAGTAACAACAAATGTGAATTGGGAAGTGCCTGGATTTCACTGCACCTCTTAAGAGCTATTAAAAACCCAGAGATTACTGGGGGATTGTAAGAGTGTGAGGATGCTATGGGAACTTTCTTGCTGCTTTAACTATTGTTAATTTATTTGTTTTCTGCTATGAGGCCAAAAGCAAATCTTAACCAAAGGGGAAAAAGTGACACCATCTGAGAGACAATTTATATAGCTCTGCACATTTCTGGAAACTACTCACAGAATCAGAAAAAAGAGCATTCTTTTTCATGAAGAAGAGCATTCTGTTTCATGAAATGGTTCACAAGACGGAATCTCTTAGACAAGTCATTAAGGAGGCCTTCAGACTGCCATTGAAAGCTGTGAATGTATTCATACTTTTACAATGAGCCTGAAGATACAACAAATGAGAATGAGTAGTATGACTGCTAACTAATCTCTCCATGTTTTCGGAGTTAGCTAACAAGTTGGATAGAAGTCAAGTACTGTGTAATGATTTGCCTTCTCTGTATCGTGTATTTTTTAATCCTTAGATAGATTTCAGAGAGCTTTGGGAACATGCATCACCTGAGCCTGGCAGCACTAGGAAAATGTCAGAAAGGACCATATATATATAAAGTGCTGGCAAATAGCCATGGTTGGTGGGGAAGAAAGAGCAAACATTTAAACAAATGGGTTAAAAAAGACACTAATGATAGGAAGAGGATGCAGAAGACAAGCAATCATTTTGCAAACTCAGACCTAATGGTTGTTACGTGAAGTTTTATAATTCCACCTAGCAATGAGCTTTCCTTTCTGCGTAATGAAGGTGATTTAATGCTGCTTACCAGAACTCGCCTTCAGAGGCACAGGGCTTGGAGTCTTTCCAGGAGAGGAGGTCTCTCCCTGGGTACCTTTAGAAGTGGATAGCAGTATTTCATGTGTTTCTTCT